AAAATAAAGAGCATCAACTATTGTTTCGGCATATTCTCTGATACGAGGGCATCGCTGCACTGCGTATGATAAAGAATGGCAAACCTGTTGGAACTTTTCGGAGAAAGTAATTAACACTAAAAAAAAGATTTTGTAGAATTTAACCCACTAACTTGTTTGCTAATTAAACTGCATCCTCAATTGGTAAATAATTAACTTCTTCTTTACCACTAAAGAATCTTTGTACATCTTGTACACGTGTTATAATATGAATGGACGACATAGTTTATAATATGAGTGGACGGCACATGTTATAATATGAATGAATATTTATTGATATTATTCTATAAATAAAAAGAAAATAAATCATGTCTTACACTCATATTATAACATGTGTAAAAAATGTACCACGTGTCCACAGGGCGGAGGGAGCTAGGGGTCCTATGCCCCCTCATTGAGGCCTTTGTTTTCCTTCTTTCTATTTTCATTATTATTACTACCCCTTCTAAATATCTTCTTGTCTTATTTCAACTCTAAATTTTGTAGTAATAAACTACAATTGGAATTTCTTAGTGTGTATATTTAAAGAAGTACATTTAATTTCAATCAATATATTTTGCCAGCATCAATGATGAGTTGATAGTTGATATAATATATAAAACAATAGAGTATGGTAATCAAATTTAGGGATTTTGTATCAACTAAAAAATTAATTCAAATGTCATTTTAACATTTGAGGGTGCTCCATCTGTACAAAGTTTCTAGCTCTGCCATTGCGTGCTACAGTAGTATTTTATAATTTATCCTCTTCACAAGAGAAATGGAGAATGTCCAAAAAGAAAAAGTTAGATAAAATATTTGAAAATAGGTTACCAATTAAATTTTATTTTTCACTTTTTTTTTTTTTTTTTTTGTCTGAACCACGAGGTGGTCCTAGATGGGCTCCAACTATGGATGGCACCTTTAAGCCTTAACCACAACCCAGACTAATTCCCGTTCACACCGGGTCGGCCCGTAAGGAGTAAAGTGCTGGCCAAAGTGGTGACTCCATACGAGAGCAGGGATCGAACCCCTGACCTCTCTTAAGGAATGAGAGTGCCGAACCACTCACACCAACCACCTTGGTTATTTTTCACTTTTTATTACACCCATTTTTGTGCTTACTTTGTTATGTATCGACAAAAAAATGAACCTTTGTTATGGAAATGGTGGCTTTTCTAGACCATATAACTTTTTAACTTTTAATTCCAAGGTAAAAGGTGAATGGATTTATTAAAAGATACATTGTCGGATGGATTCTCGGCTCTTTGAACTAACTTAAAAGACATACTGACAGAATATTGACCACCCACCTTTGGAAATGTTAGGGCTTTGCAGAATTGCAGTTGGAATATGTTGTGACAGAGAAACCCTAGCCCTATCTTCCAAGACCCAACTTACATGATTTAGAAGGAAAAGGACTTGATTGAGTTCTCATTGCTTTTTCAGTGTGAATGCCAAGTGGCTGTTTCAGAACCCACATATCCAAAAAGCCTCATCAGACTTTTAGGCCTCCCACTCAGGACTTTCAAAATGACCTGCCCATATTGGAAGGGCCTGTTTGGATCCACCTCTCTAACTTCTACTGTTTTTCACCCTTTTCCGATTTCTACATTCAATCAAACAATTGTTTATATGGTATTAAGCCATTGTGTTGTGTATTAACAATTGTTTATCCCCTCCATGATTATATAAGCAAATTGCAAGAGAGATGCATGCCTAGAGCACATCGTCCATGGCGCGGGGATTTATGTCCTAAACTTTTGACTTTTATTGGGTCGTTTGCTAAAATCACAACAAAAAAAGACACGACCTAATAAAATAACGAAAAAAACTACCAAACTTGTTAGGAGAGCCACGCCACTTTGTCTTGTTGAGACCTGCCTTTCTTTTTTTGGGGACAAACGTATTGTTGAGCCTTGAATAGACAATCTTATGACTTTTAAAGAGCACCATAATTTTTATATCAAAAAAATAATAATAATCAAGAAATGGGAGGCAGTGAATCAAGTCTTATCTTGTGTGCAGATATAAAATGTCCTAGTACGACTAGAGCTAAAAATCCCCAGCCAAGTCATTGTTTGGCCCTAATAATTTAGTTTGACACTTTGTTTGAGCACAAATTCTTTCAGTAATAATATTTTCCACAGATTCTTGACCTTACTCCGCACATAAGATAAATAAATCTCTAAGCAACACTCATTCAAAATCAGATAAGAGAGGGGATGGGTACCTGCAAAAGATACTCCGACGTTCAAGTCAATTTTTGTATGTATTTGAGTGCACCAATCAATTTGAAATCGCCTCCTTTTATCTAGTTGTGAAGCTTCGCATTTATACCTGATGCTAGCCTTGGGATGCAAACTTCACTTTGCACGTCTTATGTCCACTTTCACCACTTCTGGTTAATGAGAGTTGTGCGTTATCAACTCCCAACTGTGTTCACATCTTATGTCCACACATTTGCTTCTATCTCAGTGTGTTACTGTCAGTGTCAAGCATAACAAATGTAACGTATAACAAAATATATCCATCAGCATTCAGCAACACCGTGTTATCTGCTTGTGTATGAACAAATAATCAGTGTGAGATGTTCAAGAGTAATTGCCTCAAGTTATTAACTGTGCTGGTGTCATTCATCTCTATTGGATTCGGAATCATCGCCACATCAAGTAAACTTGACCAAGTCTGCACTAATAGACTCTTCCCACCAATGCACCCCAAAAAATGTCCTAGTACAACTAGAGCTAAAAATCCCCAGCTAAGTCATTTTTTGGCCCTAATAATTTAGTTTGACACTTTGTTTGAGCACAAATTCTTTCAGTAATAATATTTTCCACAAATTATTGGCCTTACTCCGCACACAAGATAAATAAATCTCTAAGCAACACTCATTCAAAATCAGATAAGAGAGGGGATGGGTACCTGCAGAAGATACTCCGACGTTCAAGTCAATTTTTGTATGTATTTAAGTGCACAAATCAATTTGAAATCGCCTCTTTTTATCTGGTTATGAAGCTTCGCATTTATACCTGATACTAGCCTTGGGATGCAAACTTCACTTTGCATGTCTTATGTCCACTTTCACCACTTCTGGTTAATGAGAGTTGTGTGTTATCAACTCCCAACTGTGTTCACGTCTTATGTCCACACATTTGCTTCTATCTCAGCGTGTTACTGTCAGTGTCAAGCATAACAAATGTAACGTATTACAAAATATATCCATCAGCATTCAGCAACACCGTGCTATCTGCTTGTGTATGAACAAATAATCAGTGTGAGATGTTCAAGAGTAATTGCCTCAAGTTATTAACTGTGCTGGTGTCATTCATCTCTATTGGATTTGGAATCATAGCCACATCAAGTAAACTTGACCAAGTCTGCACTAATAGACTCTTCCCACCAATGCACCCTAAAAAATGTCCTAGTACAACTAGAATTAAAAATCCCCAGCCAAGTCATTGTTTGGCACTAATAATTTAGTTTGACACTTTGTTTGAGCACAAATTCTTTCAATAAGAATATTTTCCACAAATTATTGGCCTTACTCCGCACACAAGATAAATAAATCTCTAAGCAACACTCATTCAAAATCAGATAAGAGAGGGGATGGGTACCTGCAAAAAATACTCATACGTTCAAGTCAATTTTTGTATGTATTTAAGTGCACCAATCAATTTGAAATCGCCTCCTTTTATCTAGTTGTGAAACTTCGCATTTATACCTGATGCTAGCCTTGGGATGCAAACTTCACTTTGCACGTCTTATGTCCACTTTCACCACTTCCGGTTAATGAGAGTTGTGCGTTATCAACTCCCAACTGTGTTCACATCTTATGTCCACACATTTGCTTCTATCTCAGTGTGTTACTATCAGTGTCAAGCATAACAAATGTAACATATAACAAAATATATCCATCAGCATCCAGCAACACCGTGCTATCTGCTTGTGTATGAACAAATAATCAGTGTGAGATGTTCAAGAGTAATTGCCTCAAGTTATTAACTGTGCTGGTGTCATTCATCTCTATTGGATTTGGAATCATCGCCACATCAAGTAAACTTGACCAAGTCTACACTAATAGACTCTTCCCGCCAATGCACCCCAAAAAAGGCAAATGCTTGTTAGACCAACAAAATCGAGAGATATTCTGTACCACTTAACCCACTCTGCTGGACAGCCCAAATTTAATCGTGGGCCAACTTAGGGTTGCTAGAATTTCTGCGACAAAGGCTCTGTGTTCTTTTTTTAGTGGTTTGTTTTGTTTTTTGGCTTTTGGGCTGGGTTTTCTGTGCAAACCAAGATAAGCTGGAAGTGGGCTCGAAGGCACAATAACCCGAAATGCTTCCGTCGAGGATGTAAGTTGCCACTTGTACCTTGCCATATTTGACATTGATGGGTCTCGGGTCTGTGAGAAGAAAAAGAGTGTTAGCGCAACTGTGCCATGTTCTGCGTTTTGGTCAGGACTTAGAATTCACCAAAAAAAAAAAGAGAAAAAAGAAGAAGAAAAGATCCGTGAAAGCAATAGTGAATCTCTTAGATTAGATCGATCACTTCATATCCCTCTCATCGATTCGTCAGCTTAATTGATTATCTTCCCGGTCTCAGTTTCTCAAGCAGGCAAGTCATTTTGTGTTTCAACAATTTTTGCTTCCAATTTAGGGCTTCTCTGATTAATTCGCGCTGAAATTGGCTGAATTTTCTTGGTGTTTGGTTGTAGGATTTCTCGAGTCTCAGTGTGACCTGACCTCCTCTATATTCCTTAAATAGGCAAGACTCGGATACTGCATGCGAGAAGCATAATAGTTTACTGAACAACTACTTAGATCTTGATTGATTTGGAAATCGGCAATGGATTTGGTCTCTGGTTACAAGGTGACCTAACTTCTCCCTCTCTCTCTCTGTCTTTCTTTTGTCCTTACATACTCGTTTGGTCTCTTATGGCTTCGCGTGCAGGGGGTTGTAGGGCTCGTTTTTGGCAACGAGAACTCTGGTTCTTCAAATGAAGATAGGTACTTCACTCCTTGTATATTCACCAAATTCCATACACACTACTCCCGCTGTTGCTTAGTTATAATTGTTGAATGGTATGTGACCAATCGATTCTGTCATTGTTTCAATATGTAGCTATGTTGAACGCTTGCTCGATTGTATTAGCAATGGTAAACTGTCAGAGGACAGGAGGACTGCTATGCTCGAGCTTCAATCTGTTGTGGCAGAAAGCTCTAATGCACAGCTAGCATTTGGAGCAATGGGTGATTGCTCCTCTTCTTGTTTGCAAATTGCAACAGTGGTTTAGTTTTTCATTTTATGTTTGTCATCTATGACATTTTTGATTTATTTTTTTTTTCTTTTTTGCAGGCTTTCCTGTTATGATGGGCATATTAAAGGAAGAACGCGATGATGTTGAAATGGTTGCTAAATTTTCTTCTTCTTTTCATATTTCCCCTTAATCGCATTCTTTTCATATTTCCCCTTAATGGCCATATCAACAATTTTTGCTTCCAATTTAGGGCTTCTCTGATTAATTCGCGCTAAAATTGGCTGAATTTTCTTGGTGTTTGGTTGCAGGATTTCTCGAGTCTCAGTGTGACCTGAGAAATCGGCAATGGATTTGGTCTCTGGTTACAAGGTGACCTAACTTCTCCCTCTCTCTCTCTCTGTCTTTTTTTTGTCCTTACAAACTCGTTTGGTCTCTTATGGCTTCGCGTGCAGGGGGTTGTAGGGCTCGTTTTTGGCAACGAGAAATCTGGTTCTTCAAATGAAGATAGGTACTTCACTCCTTCTATATTCACCAAATTCCATATACACTACTCCCGCTGTTGCTTAGTTATAATTGTTGAATGGTACGTGACCAATCTACTCTGTCATTGTTTCAATATGTACGTATATATAGTGCACGTATTCCAAGTCTTAATACAACAATATTGTTCTTCAGCATCCCACAGTTTACTGCCCAAACAAAACAGGTGCTGTAGGGACCTTTTTCTTCCGGCAGCTACTACGGGCCTGACTGCCGTAAAGGGCAAAATGGAAGAAATTGCCCCTTGAGCCTGAGTTCGAAAATTAAGCCCCAAAATACCTCGAAAAGGCAGTAGAGCCTTAGGAAGTATTTTGGTTATCTTCACCAACGAGAATAATGGTAACTTGCAGATAGTTTTGGCATGCTTACAGATAGTCTTTTCAGCTCAGCATGAGTGGCATGTGGCATGGGAGCAAAATCAACATGGGTTTAGCACTAAGAGAGAAATTAGGCTTGGTTTATGAGAAAAGAAAGTGTTTAAGTAAGGAATGAGGTGTTTTGTGAGGAATTCGACTAGGGAACGAGGAAAAAGAAAGGCAGAGTTCTTCTGGCAGCTGCCAGAAAAACAAATTGGAGAAGAAGATGAACAGTGCACGAGTCTGAGTTTTGCAAGATAGAGAGAAAAGCTTGCTCTCTGCAGGTTGTGAGTTGTTTTTGTTGGGTAGAGGAAGGCTCAATTTATAGCTGCCGGAAATCACCAATCTTCAAGAAACCCTAATGGCTTCTATTTACTTTGGCTAAGCTTTTCTTCCGTTTTTTGAGTGGCTTGGGCCCACCTAGGCTTGTGGCGTGATTAGGTGCGGAATGATAATTCCTTGCTTAGCGTGGCGTGTCGTTTGGCGTGGCATGTGTGCAAAGCGTATATGACGAACTTTCGCATGCCTAAATCGGGTTTCTTCTTGATAAGGTATCGTATTGGGCCGATAATTTATTTGGGCCGAAGCGTGAATTTTTTGGGCCTCAACATTAGCCCCCTTGATTATTGGGGCCATGAATGTGTGTTGAAATGGTCCAAATAATCAATTTTCAGCCCAAAATAAATTGCAATGGCATGACATGACATGAGCTTAGGAGCAACTCAAGGATGACCAGTTAAGCTTCTCTGAAATTACAGCCAGGTCTTTTCCGGAAAGGTTGGAGGGGTCGCAATGGTCCCGCTTAAAACCCAATCTTTCTTAAACACCGAGGGTGTTGCCTTGAAGAACTTTCCTAGACACTGTAATTTTGAAGGTCACTTACTAGAGTTACCAAGAGTTGACCTTATTTTGTGGCATGATATAGAAGAAAATGCTTGGTGGATTAGCTCAAGATAACTACTTAGCTCGCATGATTTATTTGCTTGAGTGACTAGAGAGGCTTGATTTTGCATGATTGTGGTTTGCAAGAGTTGCATTGACTTGTGTATCTAATATTAATTATGTATGCTTGATTTTGACTTGCATGATTTGCTTTGACTTGTATATTTGGTATTTGGCTTGATGCTTAGCATTGGTATGTATGCTTGATTTTGGCTTGATACTTGGTATTGGCGTGTATGCTTGATTTTGGCTTGCATGATTTGCTTTGACTTGTATATTTGGTATTTGGCTTGATGCTTAGCATTGGTATGTATGCTTGATTTTGGCTTGATACTTGGTATTGGCGTGTATGCTTGATTTTGGCTTGCATGATTTGCTTTGACTTGTATATTTGGTATTTGGCTTGATGCTTAGCATTGGTATGTATGCTTGATTTTGGCTTGATACTTGGTATTGGCGTGTATGCTTGATTTTGGCTTGCATGATTTGCTTTGACTTGTATATTTGGTATTTGGCTTGATGCTTAGCATTGGTATGTATGCTTGATTTTGGCTTGATACTTGGTATTGGCGTGTATGCTTGATTTTGGCTTGCATGATTTGCTTTGACTTGTATATTTGGTATTTGGCTTGATGCTTAGCATTGGTATGTATGCTTGATTTTGGCTTGATACTTGGTATTGGCGTGTATGCTTGATTTTGGCTTGCATGATTTGCTTTGACTTGTATATTTGGTATTTGGCTTGATGCTTAGCATTGGTATGTATGCTTGATTTTGGCTTGATACTTGGTATTGGCGTGTATGCTTGATTTTGGCTTGCATGATTTGCTTTGACTTGTATATTTGGTATTTGGCTTGATGCTTAGCATTGGTATGTATGCTTGATTTTGGCTTGATACTTGGTATTGGCGTGTATGCTTGATTTTGGCTTGCATGATTTGCTTTGACTTGTATATTTGGTATTTGGCTTGATGCTTAGCATTGGTATGTATGCTTGATTTTGGCTTGATACTTGGTATTGGCGTGTATGCTTGATTTTGGCTTGCATGATTTGCTTTGACTTGTATATTTGGTATTTGGCTTGATGCTTAGCATTGGTATGTATGCTTGATTTTGGCTTGATACTTGGTATTGGCGTGTATGCTTGATTTTGGCTTGCATGATTTGCTTTGACTTGTATATTTGGTATTTGGCTTGATGCTTAGCATTGGTATGTATGCTTGATTTTGGCTTGATACTTGGTATTGGCGTGTATGCTTGATTTTGGCTTGCATGATTTGCTTTGACTTGTATATTTGGTATTTGGCTTGATGCTTAGCATTGGTATGTATGCTTGATTTTGGCTTGATACTTGGTATTGGCGTGTATGCTTGATTTTGGCTTGCATGATTTGCTTTGACTTGTATATTTGGTATTTGGCTTGATGCTTAGCATTGGTATGTATGCTTGATTTTGGCTTGATACTTGGTATTGGCGTGTATGCTTGATTTTGGCTTGCATGATTTGCTTTGACTTGTATATTTGGTATTTGGCTTGATGCTTAGCATTGGTATGTATGCTTGATTTTGGCTTGATACTTGGTATTGGCGTGTATGCTTGATTTTGGCTTGCATGATTTGCTTTGACTTGTATATTTGGTATTTGGCTTGATGCTTAGCATTGGTATGTATGCTTGATTTTGGCTTGATACTTGGTATTGGCGTGTATGCTTGATTTTGGCTTGCATGATTTGCTTTGACTTGTATATTTGGTATTTGGCTTGATGCTTAGCATTGGTATGTATGCTTGATTTTGGCTTGATACTTGGTATTGGCGTGTATGCTTGATTTTGGCTTGCATGATTTGCTTTGACTTGTATATTTGGTATTTGGCTTGATGCTTAGCATTGGTATGTATGCTTGATTTTGGCTTGATACTTGGTATTGGCGTGTATGCTTGATTTTGGCTTGCATGATTTGCTTTGACTTGTATATTTGGTATTTGGCTTGATGCTTAGCATTGGTATGTATGCTTGATTTTGGCTTGATACTTGGTATTGGCGTGTATGCTTGATTTTGGCTTGCATGATTTGCTTTGACTTGTATATTTGGTATTTGGCTTGATGCTTAGCATTGGTATGTATGCTTGATTTTGGCTTGATACTTGGTATTGGCGTGTATGCTTGATTTTGGCTTGCATGATTTGCTTTGACTTGTATATTTGGTATTTGGCTTGATGCTTAGCATTGGTATGTATGCTTGATTTTGGCTTGATACTTGGTATTGGCGTGTATGCTTGATTTTGGCTTGCATGATTTGCTTTGACTTGTATATTTGGTATTTGGCTTGATGCTTAGCATTGGTATGTATGCTTGATTTTGGCTTGATACTTGGTATTGGCGTGTATGCTTGATTTTGGCTTGCATGATTTGCTTTGACTTGTATATTTGGTATTTGGCTTGATGCTTAGCATTGGTATGTATGCTTGATTTTGGCTTGATACTTGGTATTGGCGTGTATGCTTGATTTTGGCTTGCATGATTTGCTTTGACTTGTATATTTGGTATTTGGCTTGATGCTTAGCATTGGTATGTATGCTTGATTTTGGCTTGATACTTGGTATTGGCGTGTATGCTTGATTTTGGCTTGCATGATTTGCTTTGACTTGTATATTTGGTATTTGGCTTGATGCTTAGCATTGGTATGTATGCTTGATTTTGGCTTGATACTTGGTATTGGCGTGTATGCTTGATTTTGGCTTGCATGATTTGCTTTGACTTGTATATTTGGTATTTGGCTTGATGCTTAGCATTGGTATGTATGCTTGATTTTGGCTTGATACTTGGTATTGGCGTGTATGCTTGATTTTGGCTTGCATGATTTGCTTTGACTTGTATATTTGGTATTTGGCTTGATGCTTAGCATTGGTATGTATGCTTGATTTTGGCTTGATACTTGGTATTGGCGTGTATGCTTGATTTTGGCTTGCATGATTTGCTTTGACTTGTATATTTGGTATTTGGCTTGATGCTTAGCATTGGTATGTATGCTTGATTTTGGCTTGATACTTGGTATTGGCGTGTATGCTTGATTTTGGCTTGCATGATTTGCTTTGACTTGTATATTTGGTATTTGGCTTGATGCTTAGCATTGGTATGTATGCTTGATTTTGGCTTGATACTTGGTATTGGCGTGTATGCTTGATTTTGGCTTGCATGATTTGCTTTGACTTGTATATTTGGTATTTGGCTTGATGCTTAGCATTGGTATGTATGCTTGATTTTGGCTTGATACTTGGTATTGGCGTGTATGCTTGATTTTGGCTTGCATGATTTGCT